GAGCCGTTTTCTCATTTTTCTACTTTCAATATTAAATCAAAAAACGAATGATCGAATGATACACGGATTTTTACTAATCTCATTTTTTGAAAGGTAGTGTAAATTCACAAGCATTCTTTGACAGACAATTGAAATGTTGTAAATCTGTTTTCTCACCTTTTCTCTTGATGGAATTAAACGTTTTTGCAAAAGTGTGGTTTCTTTCAGTGGATACATTTGTAGAAAATTGTGTAAACCTCCGATCAGGGTTTTTGAGAGGAATTCTGCAGCCTACAGTGTAACTGTGCTCCATTATGTATTCTGGACAGTCTTGTGAGGGATCATGTAGAAATCTGACAAAAAAACAAAAACAAACTTATATTATCATCAATATTCAATATATATTACATATATACACACACACACAGTTGAGATCACAATTAGAGAACAACCTACAATTAGCTAAATTTCAAGGTCACGGATTAGTCCTATTTGAACTTATCCTATCAAGAGTAGAAGGGCAGTTCTTTAAGCATATTTCATAGATTAATTGTATTCTGAAGCACAGTATAAAAAACTTAAATGAGATATTTGAAAAATAACTCCAAGTTATTGGTGTTAATCGTTAATTGCGACATTGGCTGTGAAAACCCAGCTAAAGTAATTTTTTTTATTTTATTTGATATTTTCTACATAAAATCATCCTTCATAAGGTAAACACATTCTATAGAAATGTAACCTTGATATCTTTAATATTGACTGAGTAAGGCCTTGTCAAAGATTAAAATCATAGTGAAATTAATGGATGAAATAAAACTTTGATGCTTGTTATCTCATAATTAGATTTTGAGACTTTTAGCCTGGATTTCACAGACAGGGTCACAATTATATGACAAACCCCATTTAACTGGCAACATTCCTCTAATTTTCACTGAGATTGCAAGAAGGCAGGCTGCTCTAAGGTGACTGAAACCCTGCGACAGGAGGTTGTCCAGACGAAGGCCAAAGGGATGACCGTTTCAGCCAGTGCACTGTCATTCCAAATCTGTAATTTCTCGAATACTGCAGCTTTACGATGACAGTAATTAATTCAAGTCCCCCAAAAAGGCTGGCCGTCCATGTAAGACAAATGCAAGAGAAGGCAGGATAATGCAGAGACTCTCAATGGGGAATCAGTTCAACACTGCAGCTGGAATTGCTTGCCAGTTCAGTGCTGAAGTAATGAGAGCCAGTTTAATTTATTTGAGTCCAACGGGAAACATTTTGTTCGGCATCAAACTGGGGAAAGACTGAAGCCCAAGTGCATAAAGAAGTCAGTGAAAGGTGTTGTTTTCTACAACAGGAGTTGGGCCTCTTGTACAGATACAATTATACAGATACATGGCAGAGTGAATGCAAATGCTTATCAGAACCTCCTTCAGCAACATGCAATACCTTCCCCGCAATCTCCCAATCAGCCTACAATTTTCATGCAAGACAATGCCCTTGTCACACTGCAAAGCGGGTAAAGCAGTTCCTTGAAGCCAAGAACATTGAAATAATGAAAAGGCCAGCGCAGTGATGAAAACAACTATATTAGAAAAAAATCAAGTATTTATAGATTGTTGTCTAATTTTGATCTCCACTGTATATATCCAGTTGGGATGAATGTATTAGGGAAGGTGAGTGAAATGGGCTGTGGCTTACGCACTGCTGAAGGTGTAGTTCATTGTTGGTATGTTTGGGTGCCAGAAGCACTCCACATACTCAAGATTGATGATCTTACACTGCACACCTACATGAGTCAAGTTGATTTAAAGTCATTCATATAACAATTCATTAATACATTTTTTCACTTTACTTTTTTTTTTTTTTACTTTTGAACTTCAGTTTCCCGAAACCTACATAGACATAAAACTAATCAGTATCAGAATCTCAAACCTCAAGAGCATCATCACAACATCATACACACAAATGACATACAAGAGAACCGTGGAAATCCCCATCCAAACGCGTCTCTCAAACTTTTTAGAAAACCAAAACTAAAAGCAAACATACAATCAGAATCCTCTTATACAAACAGCATTATTAGTAAGAATTATAATCCCAATCTTGTGATAAATAATTTGCTCGCCTTTAGTTTTTAACCCCATTAACCACAAAAACATTATTCAGCACAAAATTGTGTGTAATTATATACTCACTCAGATCAACTGTTGAACAGCATTGTTGAAAGGACAGAATCAAGAACAAAAGCCCAAAATATAGTTTTGATGTGTGAATGTAAGTCATGCTCTCCTCTGAGCGTCTGAGTGACAAATGACTGTGGTCTAATACTACACAGGATGTTCACTACTGTGTGAACTACACCTTCACAACTTCCGCTTCTTTAAAGGGGTCATATGATGCGATTTCTATTTTTCCAAGCTCTTGGTGCATAAAGATCTGTAAAGTTGCAAAGACTAAAGTCTCAAATGCAAAGAGATATTCTTTATAAAAGTTAAGTCAACCACACCTACCTAAAACGGCTCGTTTTAACAAGCCCCCACATACCTACGTCACGATGTGGGAAGATTTGCATAACCCCTCCCAAATGTTCAAGCAAAGAAAGAAGGCGTAACTTTTATTCTCGCTGTAGTATTGTTGTTGCCGCCGCCATGTCGTGAAGATGCTGTGTGTTTCGTTGTGAAAGCGAAACTACTGTTTGGCCTTCCAAAAGAGGACGATATCCGCTTCGTCATGCCTGGAGCTGATCCGTGCTGGTCGCTAATGAGATATATCAACTTCGCACTGTGGATCGCCGGATCGGATTTCACCGTGGACGAAGCGGAGTCCAGCCCGGGGTCGTCACGTGGTTGCCGCAAGCCTCCTTCGTCGAATCCGCCGGCTGCGCCATTCTCAAGCCCGCCTGCCGCTCACTCTAGCCCGCCGTGTGTGACGCTGTGTTTCATTGTGAAAGCGAAACTTTGTTGGCCTTCCAAAAGAGGACACGACTAGAAATCAGTGGTTAAGTTGTATTTACAACCCTGTTCCAGAACAGTTCAACCCAAATATTCCGATGTGTCCAGCGCATTTTATGGAGGACTGTTTACTGATCCTGGGAGAGTAGACTACAATGCCGGCTGTTCTGACTCAAAGACTGTAAGTAAGTGGTAAGGGGCGTAACATTTCCGTCACACGCTTGAGGTATTCAGCCAATCACAACGCACTGGATAGCTGGCCTATCAGAGCGCACACCTCGCTTTGTAAAAATCGACGTGTTTCAGAAAGGTGGGGCATAGAGGAGAAACAATAATTTACAGTATGTGGAAAATAATGTGTTTTTTTAACCTTAAACTGCATAAACACATTTCATTACACCAAATACACAAAATAATGTTATTTTTAGCAGCATCATATGACCCCTTTAAGAATAAATATCTTGATAAGCAATCCGACATTTTCATTTTCACTTCATAGAACAAAGTCATAAAGAACAAAACTAGGTATAAAATAACATTTTTATTAACAAATACTGAAACCTTAAATTTTATAATAATAATTTAATTAACTAAAATGTATTACTATTGTTAAATAACAGCTTTTTTCATATTTTAACACAAATAATGTGTCAAAAAAGACAGCACTGCATAATACAGCTGCACCATACCATTATTATACACTCCAGTGCATTTATCATCCGAGGTCAATTATTAGTTTGGTAAGAACCAGTTCTTCTCAAACAATCGACTCCTGAGGGTCCAGCGCAGGTTTTCTCATTAAAACAGGTTCAGCCTGTGCCCAAATTCTCATCAGTAACCATCCCGGTTCAAGAGAGAGCTCTCAAACAAGTCCAACGGCCTTATCTAAAAAGCTGGCGAAGTTCTCCGGTTGACCAGGCACATACGTTGTCAAAGCAGATAGATCCGTATCCCTCAAAGTCTGAGGCAGAGTACTGTGATGAAGGGTTAAAAGCACATAAAGATGAACATTTGCAGTCAGCACATCAATTTAACCATAACAATAAACTTGAGCACTAACACAGGTGTGAAAGTGAATGCCCATAGAGCAAACCTGTAAGTGCAGTAGATAAGATGTGAATCTGCCTGCAGCTGCTTTGCGAGCTCCAGCTGGTGATTGTCCATTAATTTATCATTGACCACAACAAGGAGAGGTTTATTTGCTCCGAGTGCTTCCAGACAGCTTCCTGCTCCTGATTAGGATAGAGCAGATATTATGACATATGGGGCCGGTTGCATAAACCTCGATTTTAAGAACAGAAACATTTTAATTTTTTTTTCTGCAAGATTGTTCCTAATTTTAAAAAATCTGTTACATAAAAAGGCAGATTGGTTTACTTGGAATTTGAAAAATAACACACATTACCCCTTGGGTAAATGCTGGTTGGTCAAACTAGTTTTCAAGACACAGTCTTAACATAGTGGCTAAGTTTATGCAACTGCCCTATGATCTAAAACTCATTTGTAGGTTATTATAAAGTCAACAACAAAAAAAATTATGTCAGATCAGTGGTTTTTAATCTTTTAGATGCCATGATGGATCCCAAATATGATCATGCGAGGGACCCTCCCATTCTAAAATTTAAAATGCATCTATATATTTTCAAGTATAAAGACCCAATTTATACTGTGAAAAATGTATATTCTAAATATGTGTAAAATATTATTAAATATTTAGCCTCCCCAGGAAACTATAGTACCGTACTGTTAGATGTATTATCTATTTTATTAAAAAAATTAAAATATAAAATTTACTCAAATATTAAACATATCATGTGTCTCCATAGTACTATACCCTGCAGCCACCAACTGGTGAGAATTTTTTACAGACAATTATTGCAGATATCACACATTTTAAAGTGGAAACATGAATTTTTGATTATCTTATATTTATATTTGTCAGTATATGAACTACTGATCTGTTATCTGATGATTATTATAAAGAGTTTCCTTAATCTGCCTGCATCAAAAACAATCAAATTCATTTATGTTTGAACTGTAGTGTATTTATGGAAAGCCGTTTTAACATTTAATCTATAAGCCATACTAGTATCTATTTTCATGCTACTAGTACTTATTTTTTAGATACTAGTATCTTTTCCATTAAGTACTAGTGCTTATTCATTAGCTACTAGTGCTTATTCTTTAGGTACTTGTGTCCTTTGTAAAGTTACTAGTACTTATTCATTAGATACTAGTTCTTATTTATTAGATACTAGTACTTATTCCAATAGTGACTAGTATTTAATTATACTCTTCTTGTTAAAAAAAAATAGAACTAGTACTTATTTTTCAGTTACTGGTAACCTTTTAGACCAAAGATATCCTGAACTTAATAGATTCTAGTACTTTTTAAATGTGCATTTCTGCCCAGTATGGTAATCGTATGTTGAATATTAATGAGCCAGCAACATATAGGAGAGAGATTAGACGGGAAACAAAAATAAGGAGACGGATGTACTTTTTTTGAGGAAACCACGTAGAAAAAAACAATAATTTGTACACAAGCACATAGAAAACGTATTTTTGTCAGTTTTGTAAACACTGTAATTTCGTAAACATTGTAGCCTAATGTGTTTGTTGGTCATTGTACGAGTGACCTCCGGTGGCAGGATGGAGATAAGACACCAAATTTATTACCTATCATTTTCCTCTTTTTCCTCCAGTAAAAACAATAAATATCATATCAGGGCTGTACGTTAACTTTTTTTTGCATTTAGCACTGGTGCTACAGACACTGAATGTTTTTACATTAATGTTCTGTACAGGGCACACAAAATTCAAACCTTATGGTTTTCAGACAAACATTTATTAATAATAAATGATTAATGCCAAAAATGATTAATAATAAAAAAAAAACCCACCAGGTTTGCTGTACTTGTAGGGCTGTACAATTTGGCCAAAAATGTTGTTTTTATCTATATAACTAATAATTTTTAAAAATTAAATTATTTCTAAATAAAAACATTAAACAAAATAAGGAATATTACTTTTGTAATAACACTATTTCATGATAATATATAAAACGGTGTATTTAATAATAAATATAATAATAAATATAGCTGCAAGAAAAAGAAAAAATGTACACTTCTCTACATTGCAGAAAAACGTAAGGATTTGCAAACGTTTACCTCAAAGTTCTTAATTATTTTTGATATTTTTACCCAAATTAGGGTTTTGTGAGCAATAATGAGTACTCGGTTGTAATCTTCTTTTTCCATTCATACTCGTCGCCGGAGGGCACCCTCGCGCAGAAACTCCACAAGTGAGACTCACTGATGATGTTCCAGGAAATTCAGCTTTCGCTGTAGATGTAGCCTAGTAGCTGAATAACAGACTAAAACAATACTTTAGTTGGAAAACAGGTTTGTAATCTTTCCTTGTGTTTTCATGGAAACCCAATTACCAATTAGGGCTAACATTCAAAGCCAGTTAGCCTTACTTAACAATCAAATTATTTCTGCATATTAATGTATTGTATTACCAGGTGGACTCTGATTGGACGGTGGAGAGGTACTCATGTTTATGTAATGATCTGTTTAAATGAAGATATCTCCAAATACATTCTCACTAGTTCATGAGG